CTTCAGGTTGGCATTACCACATTGTTACACATGTATTAAAAGACAGTAAGAGAGAGAAAGGATTCATGATGAACTCCTCTCTCTTTTTATTGGAAGTGTACCAACTCAAGAGATTACTAATCCAGACTACAATCATATTATTGGGTTTTTTTCCCCTGAATCAGGCCTGTGTTAATGGTACAGTATTTATTCAGGATGGGTTTCTTAAATGACTAACAAACTTGTTGAAAATTTGAATACCTCCACACCAGCCTAAAAATGGACCTTAAGTTCCTAGAACCTCTGATGTTCTTTTAAATTAATGGAAAAATAATTTGTGAACTGTATATAGAGAGTGCATTCATAAATGTGATGATGTATTTTGTCACTAATCCCAGATGTCGATATTAGAGTCTATTTTGCTTATATTTTAAGTGATTATACTTTTTTGCAATTCACTGATGGTATATCATTTTCAAACTGCTTTAAATATCCATTAGAAACAAATATTTGAAGCTTTTATGTAATAGTAATTACCTTGAACTGTGCATTTCTAGTTTGTAATACATATTTATTTAGTTTGTGCCTTTAGTTTCTTAAAGTTATATTTGTATTATATTCAGGAAATGCACTTTTTATCACTTACAGCTGTGGTTTTAATACTGCCTTGAACTATTACTGTTCTCTTTACCATTTCCAAAGTTTTTGGAAGGAAAGAGAAAAAAACCCAAAAGGTTAACACTAATGAGTAATAAATGTAAGAGAAACATTTTGGCATTTCTCAATAAGAACGTAGAGATACTGAGTACAGTACATTGCTTCCTGTTTGGCTGAACACAAAGAATGCCTTCATTGACTTGCAGTCCTAAAGTTTCAATAATTGACAGAACAATTCATTTGTACTTGCTGATGAAAGTAAAAGCATCTTAAAAAGAAACATATGAATTTCTCATACCCAACAGACAGGCACTGGCACTCCACAGCCACACCCCATTCAAGTAAGTCAGAGTGAGGCCACAGAGGTTGGCTCTCCTATGAAGAACATTCTGGGCTGGAGGCAGGGAATACTCTGTGCTTGTTTCTTTTTCCTAGTTAGGCCTATTTTATTTGCGCTTCTTTTGTTGTGTTTTGTTTTCACTCTTGCACTACAGTCTAGAGAGCCAAATGAGCTGAAAAGTTCACAGTGTAACAGACATTGAAATACATTTATTTTTAGTTGTCATTCTAATCATTATTGATTAGAAGCATGACACCTGAGACATAAAGCCCAATTTTTAGCAAAACACCATATAAATAGGCATATATTTTATTTTTAACCCAGCAAAATAATGTATAAAATAAATGTGTCCTTTACTGTCAATTTACCTAGAAGATCTATAATATAGAGACTATATATATATAATATAATATATACGGCATAGCCAAATGTATGAAAAGTTGACAATGTATAATTTGGAATTCACATGCTAACTATATAGAGAGGTATAAAAGTAAATTATAATTTCATACAATTTTTCTTTTTTATCACTGTTGGCCCAGTTTCAAGTATTCTCCCATGTTATTTCTACTTTTTTCTTTTTTCTTTCCTTCCTTTTTAAAAAGAGAATATATTTTTAACCAGACCAGGCCCCACTGTAATATTACCTGAGAGAGTCAGGGCAAAGGTTTTGCATTTATGCAGATATTTTCCTGTAAGGGCAATTATAGTGGAGTTCAGTGGTGATGGAAGCAAAAGTACAGTAATCAAGTATTGAAATAAACTGTAGACAGATTGGAATATATTATAGCTTCTGGAAAACAGAAGGCTACAGATCGGATGCAACCTTCTTGTTTTCTTAGAGAACTTCACATACACATAGCTGACCTGACTAGTACTTCAGATCTTGGACTGCTCTTCCACAGCCTTCTGTAAGGTTCTTTATTCTGCAAAACAAAGCAAACAAACAACAACAACAAAACAAAAACAAAAACAAAAAAAAAACAACAAAATCACAAAAAAAAAAAAAAAACAAAAAAAAACACAAAAAAGCAAAACAAAAAAAAACGGAAAACAACAAACAACAACAAAAAAGAATTCAACCACAAAATAGTGACTGTTATTTCAGTGTGTCCTTCATGTGAAAGCTACCAAGGACCAAATATACTACTGTGTGTAAGAAGAAATTACTTCCTAAACAGTAAGTGAAAATAGTTAGAGTTAAACTTGCTGTGGATTTTGTCTTGGCAGTTGTCATCTTACATTATTTGTCAAAGGAAATGTGTTTGGCAGTTAAAAATCCTTCCTTAGATTTAGTGGTGGACTTTAACCTCTTAAATAAATGTTAGTATATCAGATTGTGTCCTTGAAAAATATTTTACTTGTATGAATCATGACAATGTCTAAACCTTAACTATTCTTCTGGCAAAGCATCAGTAAGAGAAAAGGTGAAAAGGAGAAGTATAGCCTTTACATCAGAAAAATATTCTTTTTAGCTGCTTACTTTCTCATGAAAAGTAAAGATGTTTACAGTGTATGCCAAGATTTTCAGTTTCTATATAACAGCAGTTAGAGGTTCTAATCATACTGAAAATTGTGTTATAATGGCCTGAGCCGTGTTGCTAGGAAACAATAGGTTCCAATTTTGTATTCCTGCTCTCACTCCTGTGCTGAAAAGTGAGTGGATACTGTACAGGTTCATGTTCTCTGACTGCAGTTAAATGGTCTTTTGCATTTTGCTCTGGTTTTCAGGCCAGAAGCATGCATTTTTCTACAAGAGCATCACAACAACATGCTGTAAATATTTAAAGTTCAACATTATGTGTCGATATTTGAAAGAAAAAGTACTTTGAATATTTCATTTTTAAAAAATAAAATTGCAAATGAACACTGTGTCCCATTTTATTCACGTGCCAAACAGCCTCTCCAGTCAGCCTGGTCACCTGAGATATGAAAAGTGGCTCCCTAACAGGGAACAATAAACCTACGTTATCTTGAAAATGTAGGTGCAGAAATCAAAAAGGTACTAATCCTAAGCAGGCATCTCTTCATTTTTATTTTTCATACAAATATAATCTCTGACACAAATGACCATTTAATACAAAGAGAATAGTAGCTGTTGAAAGTTGAAATGCCTCTAGGCTATGATTTTTTAAAAGGTTTCTCTCCTTTTGATGCCTTTCTGGACACTAGAAAGAAAATAAAGAACTGTAAGAGGGGGTGGGGGAGAGTTAGGAGAGCAGGGCACCCAAATGCATTGGCAAAAAAAAATGAATGGCGGTTGAACCATTCAGAAACAGCAGCTCTTCTGAGCTCTTCCTAGGTCCTGAGCAATCACAGTGGCCATTGGCCCTTACTTTTTCACAACAAGACCTTTATGAGTGACACTGGGAAAGCTGGCCAACAGCTCTTCCAAAATGCAACTTAACAATAATGGGGCATTATAGTCCAAACAGCCAGTTCCTGAAACTGGCTTGGAATCCTGGAATTTATGGCACTCTGAACAGCCCTGCTGCCACTCAGGCACTGATATATACACGGATCTAGTGAAAACATTCAGGGAGCGAAACACACTCCTGATTGTCTCAACACAACCCACCTGCAAAATGCAACACAGGGTGCAGGTGGGGGTTGATATTAGTATCATCTGGAGTTTTTAATTTTTTAAAATATGCATCACAACCTCAGAGTACAAACAGTAAAAGGGAATTATTAGAGAGTTACGCGATTTCTCCATATCACTTCCCCATTCACCCTCACTTTGAGAGGCCTTTGAATGTCAATGTTATTTAAATCTATAGTGATAGTACTACCTTAAATGTAAATAATTGTAGCACCTCGATAATTCTGTGAGTTATACTAGACTTAATTGTTCATACGTGGCAAATGTAATAATAGTAACAGACTGACTGCCTTAAGGTCACATGGATAATAATCAGTGACAAAGCTGAAAAGAAAATTCAAGTCTCATCTGTTATGTCGATGGGCTCTCTCCAGTCGATCAGGTTTGTTATATCTTTCTTCATAAAAATGTTCATTTCTAAAGTCAAATGACCTAATGATAAACATTCAGCTTTTTACTACAAGTTTGGCCAATGATCCCAAATTATGAAAGTGTCCAAACTGGGTAGTTTAACTTCACCTCTAGCTGCAGACTGCAAAATAATGATATCCCATTTACTGCAAGGGCAAACATAGGCAACAAAGTTGAATTTATTGTCCACTAACAGAAAGATTAGGCGTCTTGTAGTAACCTTGAAGTGCTCAAGGGCAAATCTGGGTTTCATTATTAATAGACTCTGGAGTCTGAACTCAAAGTGAATCCAATAAAACATAAGCTGATGTTTAAACATTCTTAACAGATTTTAAAGCTTTCTCTCACACTTCAAATTCTCTATCCTTTTTACAACACATATCTTAAATCCAGCCCTCTATTTATATCAGAACACTTAATCAGAGGCGTTCTCTGTAGACTCACTGTACCTATGTGCTGCTACCACCAAGGTTCCCTGACTATAATAGCCAAACTGACAATTACCTAAGCTGGTCTCCCAACCGACCTTATCTCTTCAGAACAAATTTCAGAGGAAATGTATGAGTATTTGATCAACTGTCAAGTTCCTTGTGGGCTTGCTGACACACTTTTTTTTTCTGAAGAGAGGTGTACACTTGGAAATATATGAGCATTTGTCTATCTTGACTCAGCATCTTAAAGGTATATGTTAGCATGGCAATATTTTAGATATGGCAAGGATATGACCTTTCTGAAAAGGTGCAAGCTATTATGTGCCAGGAAATAGCACAGATGCTCATGCTGGGAAAGAAAAAGTGAAAACAACTTGATGAGTAAAAGGCTGGTAAAAGAAGAAAGTGGATGAGCACATCAGTTGGAAAGTTTGACAGTAGCAAAATCAGAAAAGCACTTATCCTTTTCAGGGGATCTGTCCCATAAGATAAGTAAGATGGCCTTCATCAATATTTCATTTAATAAATGAATAGCACCTATCTCTGAATACTTTTAAAGGGATATTTTAAGACAAATTAGGTAAATGAAGCTTTCAGATACTTTATTAAAACATGAAAGACCATTAATGATTCCAAAAAAGTGTAAAAAAGGATCTGATTAAGAGACAAGCAAATATAATTCATATATTTAGGATTATTCCAGAATGAACAAATTACAGTAAAAAAATAGTTACACCTATTAATACTTAAACCCACGCTACAAATGATTAAGAAGTATCTAAACATATGCATTTTACTTTGAAAATCAGCTTTCTGAATTCCTTTACAAGTTACAAGTGAGGCTTTTACTTCTACAACAGGTAAATGGTCCACAATACATATTGCACTTCTGTAGCATCTACAGTAAATGCTCAGAAATCAGCCCCCTGCCAGCTCATGGAGAGTAACTCTGGCCCTTGGCAGCTCACTAATTATTAACCAGGCTCACCACCACCGATGAACAGCTCAGAATTCCAGTTTATTAGTTTATAATGACACGTAGTCCTTTCCTCTGAACCATGGACTCAAGCCTCTAAAGACAGATGTATCTACACACCAGGAACCTCACTTGCCATGTACTTACCGCCTTTTATTGTTAGTTTCTTATTGTCTTATTCTTACTTTCTCTTGTCTTTTACTGTTTCTTGTCCAGCTAGATAATGAGCTGCCTGAGTGCAGGGACCAAGTGAAAGTTTACTTCTCTACCCCAGTGCCTATTGCGTTTGTTCAGTGAATGAATTCTCTGAGCCCTTAAGCAACCTGACATAATCAAATCACAAGTCACAGAAACATAAAATGTGAAAAGAAACTACAAATCCCCACCATTGCATAAAATCTTGGCTCTCACTTAGGTTGCAGTCACTTGGGATTGTTAACAATTAACACAACCATAAGCTTTCCACTGGTCTGTAGGGCTACCTAATGGGGAGACTGCCTCAGCTGAGGAGCCGCAGCTGCTGAAGCTTCCCCTTCAAAATGAGGTTTGACATGAAGTAGCAACAACTGGGGGCTGACACAGGTAAATGAAGGCAAGTCCACTTCATCAGATTCGCAATATAATTTCAAATCCTGTGGCATCAACTGTAATAAACATTTAGGACATATCTTAAATTATGGGGTTTTTAAACTCCGGATTGATCTGTGGGTTTTACTCTCCAACATCAGAGCACTAGGCAAAAAGGTAGCTTTCAGAATTAAACAGAAATTGTTCACTCTTTATCTAGTACTTGTTTTAGCCCACAGTGGACAGCTTCATAAATCCCAAAGGAGCCTACAACACGATAGCCGGGGGAGAGCAGAATGTCAAATGCAGAACCGCACATGACAAAGAAGAGGGGCACGGACCAGCTGCCTGCCATGTAATTAAACAAGATATTTCAAAGTCAGGAGGTATCAAATAATATTTCACTAGAAATGGTGCTTTTGAGAAAAACTGAGGATTGTTTTTATTTATATTAGCCAAGAATTAACACTAATCTTTTGTAAAGTATCATGTTTTCAATCGTTTTCCATTTGCAAATAAAAATAACTGAAAATAAGCTGTGGAATGACTTTTTCCCAATCCTCATTTCAAAGCTCCTCATTATCCAGAAAGTCCATTTCTGCTTTAACATCATGTTAGATGCTTTTATTGCAGGGCTAAGATGGTACTAGAAATGCATTTGTAGCTCACTGAACTGTATTATCTACTGTATATAAAACAGCATATATTTAAATTATTGAAAATAAAGTACAAGGGGTTTTATTTTTCTTCACGGTGCTTTCAGGAAGACACCAGGATCTCCTCTTCTCCCTAAAGAAAAATAATAACAAAAATCAAGAAAAGATAAACTTACAAGCTATTGAAATTACTGGTTAACTCAAATTTATAATAATAAAATTTCCAACTGCATAAAGCTCACACAGATACAACACAATGATATAGCTCAAGGAACTAGTATTTAAAATTGAGTTATAACGAATGAAATATTGAGCAGAAAAGAACAATTAGCCAATTTGTAAGTTGGAGTTCTATTTCCATTTCTATTATTCCTTAATTTAATTTACCACTTGAGTCTAATTGTCAGTTTGTGCTTAAGCCTGGGTCCCTGTCCAAAAAAAAAAGGGGGGGAGGATATAACAACTTATTTTCTTTCACCACAAATATTTATTGTTTCAATCAGGCATATCTCCTTCCTCCAAACAAATGATTAACCCCTTTCGAAAGATGAAGAAACAATTACGTGTCTAATGGCCCCAGACATTGGTTAGTATTTGGTCATTAGCTTGACCTGTGCACTAAAACAGCTTTGCTCAGGAGATGTAACAATTCATGCCTGTGGAATAATAAAGTCAACTAATTTCATTTCCTTTGCTACAATAAAGTTTCATTAATTCAAGCTCCACAAATTCAGAAATCAGGATCACGTGGGCCAGGCTAACATTAGCTTCTCCCCCACTGAAGGGAAAAATATAGTTTACTAAGCAAAGGTAAAGGACACCCAGGTGCTCCCTGAGCTGTCCCATCTTGCACATCATTTGGCTCTGAATTAGTGAAATGAAATGGTACTTATGTATTGACAAAAGAGGATAGGGAGGACAAGATGAAATGAGAGAGGTTAAATATTATGGGCCCATAGAATTTTTTACATTCTTGCAGGAGTTTTTTTACTATATATTTTTTATTTTTAAATTATAGTTTACATTCCATATTATTTCATATTAGTTCTATTAAAAGTTTATAATACAGCATATTTAAATCAAAACATGGGAATAATCCCCACCCCTCTCATGTGATGTGTTGGCTACATGAACTTTCTCATTGCATTTTTCTTATGGTACTTCCTGTAACAATATGTTCATGAACAGGTTGACTCATAACCCGACCTTCCAGATCCTGTCAAAATTAATAGTAGGGTGGGGATCTAGGAGGAAAAAGCAAAAGGGACTAAGGAGTACACACTTCCAGTTGCAAAAGAAATTATGGGAATGCAAAGTACAGCATAGGGAACACAGTAAAAAATACTGTAGTAGCTAGTATGATGTCACATGGGTACTAATTTATTGTGGTAATCACTTTGTAAGTTAATTCATGTTGAATCACTATGTTGTATACCTGAAACTAATGTAATGCTGTATGTCAAACTGCAACTGAAACAAAACTGTAAAAAATTAACCGTAAATCATACCTGTAGTACCTTGTGTACTTCTACTTGAGGACTTCTCAACTGGATACTGCAGTGGTATTACAATACCTTGATCTGGCTTCTGAAATGCTGAAATGAGATTTTTTATTTTCCGGAAAAATCTTTTATGAACCCCAGGTGCTGTCTGGAAAATAAAAGGCCAAGCAAATTATTCACCTACGTCATAATGATATGAAAAGCCCTGCAAAATGTGTGAGAGATACTTAGAGAGGTAACATTTGTGTAACTTGTTCAAATATTTGAAAACATAAAGAAGAAAAAAAAACATCCCAGAAGACTTTACTTTGGTTGGCTGAATTTCCCTGCAAGAGGAGCTAATGAGCTGTCATTTCAGTTCTCCCAAGGGTGGTATTAGTTTGTACAACCTCTTGGTCATTGCCTTGCCCTTCCTGCCTGCTACCCATCATACATCCCGAACCTCTAAGGGTATACAGGCCATTACCCACAATGAATTCACCAACTTAGAAGATGCAGTTAAACACAGGAAAAACACAGATTCTATAGGTCATTAACAAAAAGCCTGAAGAACAACAATGACAACAACAAAAACAGCACCACCAACAACATATTCTCCCTGTCATCATCACACAATAGAAAATGCTACACAGGACATTAAAAATGACTATTATGATACACACAATGCATGGCTAGTTAGTCCTTATATGCTCACCGCTCAACATGTTGAGCCTCATCCTTCACATTAAATTTTTTCCTCCTTGGGAAAGTTCCATATTCTCCCTAAAATTACTCTCTCCATTTAACACCTCACCGTGACAAAGTTTCATCTATGACACAAAAATGAAAGACTATATAAGGTCACCCTTATTTATTTGTTTTTTTTTAAGAGATCATTATTTGCAAGTGACTATTAAAATGTATTCCTTTCCTGACATCAATTCTCTTGCAAAGACACAGTTTGAAATCAATAACAATTTCCTGCAAAGGCTTATGAGCCAAGCTTTAGGCAGCAGCTCAAAAGTGTCATTTTACATGAAATAAAATAGTATTGCTATAAGCAATGGAACAATCACTAGTTTTTTTTAGAAAGCTGTTTTTCAGCTATTCCATCTGGAAGATTTTTGAGGTGGGAGCTGTTTGTTAGCGTTTAATGAGAAAACATGAAGGCTGGCACGCAGACTTCTGCCAAACAGACTAAAAGCTGAAGATAGTACACTGTCCGTAGTAACTCTCGGTCATTTCCTACATCAGGGTAAGTAACTTTTCATTGAAAGCACTGGCAAAGTTCTTTTGAGCTTTAAATTAATGTGTCCACTCATAGGCTCCCACAGCTTGGAGAGTCAGTAGCCATAAAGTATAGACCATTCTCGCACTCAGCTCCACCCCTATGGTAAAAACACCTTCGCAGAACTCTACCTCATCCAAAATAACATGGCCATTCTTACAGGGGTCCAATCAGCTCTTCAGCTGCAAGGTAAAATCTGCAAATTGCAAAGGCAGGGTGTAGGCACAAAATAACCTCCTTATAGCTTCCTTAGAGCCCCATTTTTAAAGCACTTGCCCGTCTCTTGCCCCTACTAGTTCCTCAGAGGTGGGCAGTTATTGGCTGATTTGGTTAGTCCCATTTGACAGATTAAAAATGGAAATACAAAGAGATAATTCAGCTTGCCCAAGGTCCCACAGATGACCAGAGACAGAACTGCCTTGAGATCCTAGGACCTAGCCTCTTGCCTCAGATCAAGACTTAACCAAATAGACTGTAGTGAAGTTAGAATCACCAGTCATAAGAGGAACTATACACTCCCCAGGGTGGAAAGATTTCAAACCACACATCTTCTTAGCTGTTCTTGTGGCTTGTAAAACGATTTATCAACAAAAGCAACTTTTTTATGGGGACTTACAAGCAGTTAACACCTGATTATCCACACTAACAGAGAGGAATAACAGCACTGGATGTACAAAAACAATTTCAATTTGGGGTGAATGCTTCATTGGCAAATGGCTGATCTCATTTATAGTACTTTGCTTAGGTTTGTAAGTAAAATTATTTACCATCTACTGGTGTACTCATGATCAAACATCCAGAAAAGCCCAAAGGCACTAAAGTTAGCAGGCAGGGAGGTTAGTACAGTCATCACAAGTACTGCTGGAGATGCACATAATAAATGATAGGTGACTGTGTAGAATTCTCTGAATTAACAATAGAGCAAAATTTGACTCTGAGTCACATGAGAAAAATTAATACACTAGGCAATGATAAAATGTAAAAGTCTATCGAAAACTAGAAATTCAAGTAAATATCTGTCTTTCATAATTCAGTGGATCCAAGGTTCAATTTTGTCCCACTCTTTGAAACAAATCTCACACTTATCTAGATTTTTTGCACAACCTTTGCACAGAGGCTGGAGCGCACTACTGCCATGATTTTTCCTGCAGTATGGAACTACAGCATTGTTCCACAAGCAATTTAAATATCTTTCACTTGCCCACTTTTGAAAATACATTTACCACAAGATTTGCAACACTGACAACTCCCATCCTGTCGCTGAACTCAGCTATTGTATAAATTTTCACATTGCCTATTTGCTATCTCTTAGTTATCCATGGAAACATGTGTTGGATCACAGCTGGTCTTCAATATGCTCTAGAGAAGTTTCTTCCAGGCAGGTGATATGAGCTCTGGGAATACTCACTAGTTTAATATCCACCTTAGCAAAAAACACAACTGAGAAAGCAAATTTAACAGACAGAAGAAACGCAATGTGCATTGCAAAAATAAATTTAAAGAGTTCTTTTTAAAGCTGTTTTCCCTTTGGAGAAAACATGCCAATCTTCTGCTCTCTTGGTGCAGAGAATTACATTATTATATAAACAGGGTCAAAACAGACAATTGCATGAGACAGTATTAATGTTCAATAAGTCCTCTCTTCCTTAACATGATCACAAGCATGTAACAATTGGCATATGATGCTATACTTTAATGAAAGAAAACAAGCCTGAAGGCAAAATTAGCTAATCCCTAATCATTTAAGATCCTTTCCATAAAGAATATTGGTCAGCAACTGAAGGCTACTTTTCTAGTGAGAAGAGCTATTTTGGGTTAAATTATATACAAATATATGTGTAGATATCATATACAACTCTTCTTCATACTAAGTGAAATTGAATTTCTTAGTTAATCTGTAGTAATGCAGAGAATTTTTTAAATAAACAAGTATAAATAGTTTTATTTAGAAATGGCACTACTTTTCCTCTAATTAGTACTGCAATATTAATTATCCCGATATAAAGCAACAGTGTGTTCGGAAACTTGCCCCAATTCATCTCAGCAGGTCAAAACATTTGTAATCTACAATTTGTGCTTTCTGGTGTACTGATAAATTGGTAAAAGTTAGAGCTATTTCAATTTGTTTTAAATCTAGGATTTAGAGTTCCTTAAATACATAGTTATTGAGTTATTAATAGAGGTTGATAGTAGCATTTCTGTTTTCAAACAACTCATAACAAAGCACTCTCATTATAAAAATAGGCTGTTTTAAAGAGTCAGATATCAGAGAAGGCATTTGAGGTCAAAAGTTTCCGTTGTAGAGACCTCTATGTTGGTAATATACGATGTACTACACTCACACATGGAAATATATTCATTCCACAGGCACTTCTTGCAGTGGTACAGTGACTTTCAACTGTTTTCAAAGCCATCAGAACCCATTTTTTTAATGAAATCTTACTCAGAGCTCTAGTTGATAAGCAAAATAAAAGAGAACTGCTCAGATTAAAGACAAACTAAAGACCCAAAAGCATATCTGTGTAGGTCCTTCTCTTCCTCTGCAAACCTCCAGGCAAACCCAATATACCCAGGTAGAAGAATATTACAATTTTGCAGAGCATAGCTTAAAAACCACTGCAATGTTCCCTCTATCTCTAGTCCACCTCTCCACATTCCTCCCACTTGGCTCATCTAGGAGTCCTGCTTCCACACACAGAGCAGCCCTGCTTACCCTAATACTTGAAAAACCATCCTTTCTTTGAACTCCTACAGTAAATAAGGTAGCACTTGATTATACACAATGATATTGATGTGTATATTCATCACTGTCAATGTGGGCAAGTTCACATTTTTGAGGGCTTACTATGTTCTAGGTCCTGTTCCTCAGAGCTTTCTTTATATGCATTATCTCACTTAATCTTCAAAATGAGCTTTATAAATACGGAACTAGTTTTAGGCTCATTCTACAAATGAAGAAACTGGTTCAAAGAAAAGTTAGGTAACCTGCCCAAGGTCACAGACCTATCAGGGAGGACAGTGGACCTGATCTGGAGCCTAGATCCACCTGACAGCAAAGTTCAGGCCCTCACACGGCTATTTAATTCATGTCCTATCTCCTCAAGGGTATTATAAGCTTTTAGAAAATAATCCCCAATAGCACCAACACTCATATTAGTACCATTCACTAAATAATAGCTGATTTAATTATTTTCACATTTTATATGCTTTCTAAAATTTTACATATTTTTCATATGCTTTCTAAAAGTTGGACACAGTCTTTCAACTTTTTAAAAAATCTTTTCCCGCCCTGGCTAGTGTAGCTCAGTGGATTGAGCACGGGCTGCAAACCAAAGCATCACAGGTTTGATTCCCAGTCAGGGCACATGCCTGGGTTGCAGGCCACGGCCCCCAGCAACCACACATTGATGTTTCTCTCTCTTTCTCTTTCTCTCTCCCTTCCCTCTCTAAAAATAAAATAAAATAAAATAAAATAAATCTTAAAAAAAAAAATATTTTCCCCAAGGTGACACCACTCCATAGAATGGTGGTTGAACAGAAATGGCACCAAAATTCTCTAATCCCTTCTTTTTAAATTTTTATTTATTTATTTTTAGAGAGAGAGGAAGAGAGGGAGAAAGTGAGAGAAACATTGATGTGTGAAAAATACTGGTGCATCTATTTGTTGCCTCTTGCAGACCCCCACTGGGGACCTGGCCTACAACCCAGACACATGACCTGACTGGGAATCGAACCAGAGACCTCTCAGTTCATAGGCTAGCACTCAATCTACTGAGCCACACCATCCAGGGCTTTAAAAGCTTCTTAATGATCCATGAACAATTTTGGATTGGAGCTTTAGTGATATGAATCTGAAGAATACTTAGGGAATATAGAATTTGACAGCTCTTTTATAAAACCAGCCTAAATTTCAAAGACCTCCTGGATACCCACAGAAGTAAAAATAAATAAAAAAGCTATACCTCAGCACTCCAAGAACCTGTTTCTGTCTGGGACACTCGGTATGTATAAATGTAACCTTGATACCTGTGAAAGAATAAACTCCATTACTGAAAAATTCCAAAAGAACAAACAGATGCTCTTGGTTTGAGCTTAACTATCACATATAAATGTTACATATACTGGGACACACATATATGGCACCATGAATTCATAGGAAGAAAAACCGGGGGAATCTAACTGGTTTGTGTATTATATCCAGCTAATCACAGTTTCCAGTAAGCCTTCTTTATGTTTTCTTTTTTTAAAAAATGTGGGAGCTCAGACTTCTAAAGATATGTCTAATTGAACAGGAAGAAACTAGAGACCTGTTGTGACTAGTAAAAATCATGAATTATTAAATAGATTTAATTAAGAGTAGTCTGATTATTTTTAAGTACATATAGAACCTTAAAGTGAAAACATTTCTCTGGGATAAGGTACTGTGAGGCCCACTTAAAATATAGTAATAATGATATTAATTATAAATGTAATACTATATTCCTATATTGTTATTACTGTTACTTTATAGTATATTATAAACTAGTAATAACAGCAATTTGAATTAAAAAGGAGTCCTGCTAAAGAACTTGAAAGCAGCTTGTCCTTTCAAATGGGATAAATATTGTCCCTCCTCAGTGTGTATGCATATTGTATGTCTATATATTTGATTTCTACTACATACCAAGAGTTTCATATGCTGTATTGGTTTGCTTATGCCGCCATAGCAAAATACCATAGACTGGGTGGCTTAAACAAAATAAATTGATTTTCTCACAGTTTTGAAGGCTGAAGTCCAAGATCGAGGTGCTAGCAACATAGCTTTCATTCTGAGGCTTCTCTTGGTTTGTACTCAGCCACCTTCTTGCTCTGTGCTCACGAGACCTCTTTGTGTTTGAGTATGGAGAGAATGATCTCTGTCTCTTTTTCTTCTTATAAGGCCAACGATCTTATTGGATTAAGGCCCCACCATTATGACCTCATTTAACCTTAAATACATTCTAAAGACTCATCTCCAAATACATCCACATGGGGGGTCAGGCTTCAACATATGAATTTGTGGGGGACATGATTCAGTTCACAGCATTCCACCACTGGTGCCCCCAAATTCATGTTCTTCTCATATGCAAAATACATTCCTTGTGTCCCAACAGCCTGCAAAGTCTTAACTCATTCCAGCATCAACTTTAAAGTCCAAAGTTTTATCTAAATACCATCTAATCAGATTTGGGTGAGACTCAGAGTATGAGTCATCCTGAGGCAAAATTCCTCTCCAGATGTGAACCTGTGGAACCAGACAAGTTTTGTGCTTTCAAAATGTAACGATGGAAGAAGCATAAGATAGACATCCCTATTCTAATACAGAGAAATAGGAAGGAAAAAACGTCACAGGTCCCAAGCAAGTCCAAAATCTCATAAGGCCAATTGCTTGAGATCTTAATGCTTGAGAATAATCTTGGGTTCATACTCTGCCCTCCAGGCACTCAGGATGGCACTGTCACCCCCACAGCTCCGGGGGTTGGCCCTGCCCACTCAGCTCAGTTAGGTTCTGATCCCACCTTTAAAACCTATCTTGGAACAGACTCACCCCCCTGGGCCTGTGGCAGGAGTGGTATCCCTGATGATCTCTGAATTGCAGTCAGGGCCATTCTTCCCTTTTCTTGAAATATAAAGCAGGTCTGCAGTCAAATTGCCCTATTGTCCTGCCCTACTCCTTGTGGTCCAAACTGACAGTGTCTCTGAGGCATTGCCCCAAAGTCCCTTCCCAGCTTCGGCTGAGATGGTAGTTAACGTCATGGGTAATCTCCTTAAAGAGTGATTATCTGGCCGCACCCTTGGTGTTCTCTCCAGAAGAAGCTTCTTTATTTTTTGCCATAAGGATATGCTGAGAATTTTCCAAATCTTTAACTTCTGGTTTCTTTTTGTTTATCAATTCTTTCTTGAATTCATCTGTCTGCCTTCGCATTTTACTATAAGCAATGAGGAGGAACCAAGGCACCCACCCCTTCAACACTTCACTTAGAAATTTCTCCTGCTAAATATCCAGTTTACAAGTTCTACCTCCCACAAAACATGAGAACACAACTCGGTTAAGTTCTTTGCCATTTATAACAAGGATGTCCTTTCCTCCAGTTTTCAATAACATGTTCCTTATTTCTACCTGAGACCTCATCAGAAGGAACTTTAACATTTACAGTTCCACCAACATTCTGTTCACAGCAATGTAGGCTTTTCTTAGTGTGCACTTCCAAACTCCTCTAGCCTCTACCAATTGCCCAGTTCCAAAACCACTTCCACATTTTTAGGGGGTTGTTACAGCAGCACCGTATTTCTTGATTCCAAAATCTGTATTAGTCTGCTCAGGCTGCCATAGCAAAATGACTTAAACAAAAGAAATTTATTTTCTCAAAGTTCTGGAGGCTGGAAGTGCAAGATCAAGGTGCCAGCAATATAGGTTTTATTCTAAGGCCTCTTCTGGCTTGTAGGCAGTCATCTTCCTGCTCTGTGCTCACATGACCTCTTCTTCATGTATGTGCGTGCAGAGAGATCTGTCTTCCACTTCTTATTACAAGACCACCCATCTTCTTGGATTAGGGCCCCACCCATATGACCTCATTTAATATTAATTGCTTACTAAAGTCCCTATCTCCAAACACAGTCACATCTGGAGTTACGGCTTCAACATATGAATTTGACGGGAACGTGATTTAATTCATAGTACATGTATTATCTCTTTTGGACCCCACAACAGTCTTATGAGCTTTATATTGTGAAATTCATTTCACAGATGAGGGAACTAGACCTTGAGAAGTTAAGTAACCAAAGCCACAGTAGAGATCAAGCAGCAAAGAAGGATTTCAATCAGGTCTGTTTAACTCATAGTATAGTCCCAGCTCTTGATACATGGACTTAATTTGCCTAATAGATTTTACTTCATATACAAGTAAAGTAAACTTTATGCTGAATTATTTCAAATTATGAATCCGATTCAGGATCAACAGAGTTTTAAGACATTTTGTGATCATTATGCTTAGGCACAAATTTGGGCCAATACAGATCTTTGGTTAGAATACATGCTGAATTGAGATAAAAATAAATGTGTCTAAACCTAAAAGAACAGATGATTCTAAAGCATTCTAAACAGAAGGTCATCGTTAAGTAACTGACCTCATTTACCATTAACCACCTTTAAAACTAAGTCTTTAAATATGTGGATTAAATTACTATATATTTAATCAATATCCATCAGTACCGATTACCTACAAGACAAAAGAATCCCACTCTAATCAGGTTCATACTATTTGTAAACCCTCCTCCTCCCCAAAAAGATCAATTGAATTGCTGCTGTGATTATAAGAAATATTCCATTTTTGTTACAGAGGTTTGTCAGAACATTTAGATCATATATAAAATACGTTAACATATGCCTCTGTAGAATATGCTAAATAAATATAAAATATTACATTGTTAAAGTCCTTTGTTTTTCTAAGTAATTGAAATCTACCTCAAAGCCCACTGATTTCAGTAAGCACTCTACAGGGAACAAGGCAAGAGCTTTGATTTCCATTTTACACCATGGGAACTCAAATGTAAGGCTTGAAATGATTTCCTTGAAGTTACACCGCAAAATGGAGATATAAGCAGAGAAATAGGTCCTTAGTTCTATTTTCCCTCTGGGAAGTGATTAATGGCAATAATTCAGTACCATTAAAGGTGATGAGGAAAGGTATCATTTAAAATCTCAGCAAAAATGAAAGCAAAATTCTAAGTAACTGGTTTTCCACTTTCTAAAACAGTGGGTTGCTTCAAAATACAATGAACCTAACTCCCTACTATCATTCAGCCTCATTTAGTCAAAATAAATGAGTCTGTTTTGAAAATTGTTTCCTAACGAATCTGATCTTATCTCACTTTCAGTTAAGCAGCAGGAACTTGAGTACCACTTCAAAAGTCCTTACCTCCTTCAGTCTCTGAACAACCTGGTGTGGGTGACACATAAAATTTCTTGTGATTAACCCATCTAATATTAACAATTTCCTACTCCCCAACGCCTCAAATTTCTGAATGAGCAAAATTCTTTCACCCTTTAGATAAGCCAGCAGTTCATCTCTTCCACTTTCAACTTGCTGAAGTAACTGAACAAGGAGGGATCTCCTATAATCAACTCCAGCTATCATATGGCATGGACGGAAGAGACCTAAAACAGTGAGACTTCAATTACGTTCCCAGGGTAACACCATTGGTATCATTTAGGTGCTTGTTGAAAATTCGGAACCCAGGCCCTCCCCCAGAACTGCTGGATTAGAATCTGCATTTTAACAAGATTTCCAGTGTGGAGAAAAGGGAGCCCTAGTACATTGTATTGGGGAATGCAGATTGGTGCAGCAACTGTGGAAAACACTATGGAATCTCCTCAGAAAACCAAAAATGGAACTGCCTTTTGATTGAGCAATTCCACTGCTAGGATTATACCCTAAGAATCCTGAAACACCAATTCAAAAGAACCTATGCACCCCAATGTTCATAGCAGCACAATTTACAATAGCCAAGTGCTGGAAGCAACCTCAGTGCCCATGAGTACATGAGTGGATCAAAAAACAGTGGTACATTTACACAATAGAATACTATGCAGCAGAAAGAAAGAAGAAACTCCTACCCTTCGAGACAGGATGGATGCAACTGGAGAGCATTATGCTAAGTGAAATAAGCCAGGTGGTGAAAGACAAATACCATATGATCTCATCTATAAGTGTAACCTAATCAACAAAACAAACAAGCAAGCAAAATAGAACCAGAGCCATGGAAATAAAGAACAAACTGACAGTGACAAGAGGGGAGGAAAGAGGGCGATAATGGCGGGGGGGGGAAGGTCAAGTCAAGGAACATGTACAAAGGACCCATGGTAATGAACAATGGGGTGGGGATTGTCTTTGGGAGCAGGGGTTGGACAGGGCAAGGAGAGCAATGGTGGGTAGGAAAATGGGGACAACTGTAACTTAACAACAATTAAAAAAACAAACAAGATTTCCAGTGGACCTCTAAGAATA